TGTACAGAAGCCCTGGTGACTTCAGTAACACAGGGAGTTTCTTCATGGCCTTTTTTTTTTTTTTTTTAACATGTTGGTCCTCGCCTCCTCAAATGTCTCTCTGCAGAGACTCCTTCTACAAGTGGAGCGGCTCAGGGGGGGCTGCAGGAGTCTGAGAGCAGCCGGTCTCTGGGGGGCGTTCAGAGTGAGCCTCAAGCTGATGCTAACTCGTCCACACCTGCTGGTACTGCTGGTACTGCTGGTACTGCTGTGTTCTCATCAGGTTTACAGTAGAGGCTGTGTTTCCCGTGTTAACCTGTTGGTGTCGCTCTGGTATGTCTAGGTGAGTCCTCAGAGTTTGGTTCCGGTGAAGATGCCCTGGCCAGGATCCGCAGGTTAATAGCAGAGGGCGGGATGACGGCGGTGGTGCAGCGGGAGCAGAGCACCACCATGGCCTCTATGGGTGGATTTGGGAACAACATCATCGTCAGCCACCGTATCCACCGCGGCTCTCAGACTGGCACCGGGGCCTCAAGACCTGCCTTTGACCCTACCACGTGTGATACCCCCTCCACCTCCTCCGCCTCCTCCTCTGGACCGCTCCTCATCACTCAGCTTCAGGACCAGCCACACCTGACTTCCCCGGTGTCCCCTACATCCACTGAAGCCCCTCCCTCTACATGGGGTCCAGAGGTGCTGTCTGGCCCAGCGCCCCCTGGACTTTCTGTGGCTGTGGGAGTGGATGATGTTTTTGGTGGAGGGGAGTTTTTGGTGGGGGGGGTTGAGGACTCTCTGCCAGGTCCTTCTTCCTCCTCCTCCTCCCAGCTGCTGTCTTCCACTTCCTTTTCACCTTCTCTGTCATCTTCCTCCACAGCAGCAGCAGTGGCGGTGGAGGGGGAGACAACAACACCCCCCCCACTGTCCCATAACACAGGGACTTCTCCCATTGGCCCAGAGCAGCAGAGCGCTGGCTGATCAGTTCCTGGTTCTCCTTTGAAAAGCCTTATATGACAAAGAAAAAACATGGTGCTGCTTCAACTCTACGAGGCTTCTTGCCTGGAACACAGAAAGTAACACAAAGAGCCCCCTCTCACCCTTCCCTTACCTGGGAAGGGTGAGGGAAGGGTCCCTGAGTGGTTTGCACTTATTAAATCTGGACTGAAAGTGAACAGGACTCTCCTGGTCTAAAAGGGCTTAGACCTGGACAGGGTCTCGGTGTAACGTACAGGTGGACAGACAGACCACCAGGTCCCTGTGTCAAAGTGCCACGACTGGGGGGGTGGGGCAGTAGTGGGTGGGCGGGGTTTTCTGGTACATAGTGTTAAATCAGTAGTGAGTTTAACTCCACTTTACTTTGGTGTCATGTCTGTGATTATGACCTGTGAGGAGACTCCTGGAGGAGGCCACGCCCACACCATCACCAATCAGTGACTGAGGACACTAACACCTGACTCCACTGCATGTCTTCTCAAATAACGCTGCAGTTCATCAAACACAACAATTATTTTAAAAAAAAAAAAAAAAAAAGGGCTGAAGAGGATGGGAGCTAACTGTCTGTGTGTCCAGTCCCAGGTAAAGGCACAGTTCAGGTTCTGTGAGGGGCTGTGGTCCAGTGGGTTCAGTCATATGAAGATTTTATGCCTCTGGAATATCCTAAGGACACGTCCACCTGTCAGTCATCACGTTCAGCCTGAGGTCTACAGACTGCTCACCGTCAGTCGTGACAGCGTTCAGCCTGAGGTCTACAGACTGCTGCCTGGTTTGTGGCGCTGAACTAAATCAGTGAAGTGTTTAAAAAATGTTATGACTGAACATTTTATGTTTGTTACTGGGCTGACCTGAAGATGGCGCTCCTCACCTGCCCTCATTGCTCTGTTCACAGCCAGCCTTTGCAGTCGGTTCAATTCTAAAACAGTTTTTGACCATGGTTTCATGTGTTAACCAAAGCAGACATCTGGAGCAGGACTGTGATTGGGTATCTCCACACTAAGCCCCGCCCCCTCCCTGCCGCCTGAAGAGAAAACTTGAATTGTCTTTTTTTTTTCATTTTGAAAACTTTACTTTTCTCCTCTTCAGCCTGATGAAGATAGTGACGACGATGACGATGAAGATATTACTGTACAGACTCCAAGGCTGTGTTTTTTATTTTGCCTGTTTTTTATGGTGATTCCACACTGGTGTAGTCATCATCACACAGCTACGTAGACGTTCATGTACTGCTTTCGTTTCATTGGTGTGTGTGTGTGTGTGTTTGGAGGAGGGGGGGGGGTTGCCTGGAAATCATGGGCTGGGCAGTAGTGGAACTATGAAATGGCAAGGATATACGGGAGGAGGAGTCTTGACTGGATCTGTCCAGAGACACTGTGTGCTTCAAGACCAGACGTTTACTGAAGATTTTTGGTTTCATTTTTATAACTTTTATTTCCTACAGGTGAGATCAGCCGGTCGACCTGCCGGGCCACTGCGTGGAGGCAGAGCCAGCTGCATGTGAGGGAGAGAAAAAGAGAGGGAGAGAAAAAAAGAGGGAAAGTTGAAGGAGCCACGGCAGGTGACACAAAACAAACTGGTCTGACTCTGAATGCTCCTCCTGGCTTTACTTGATTAATGAACCTTTTGAAAAACCATTCGTTGGTGTGACAATGTGTCGAGTTTGTTTGTTTGTGTGTGTGTGTGAGAGAGAGAGAGAGAGAGAGAGCGAAAGACCTGATGAAGCTCTGTTTAATTTTCAGCTTTACTTCCTGATGTAAAATACCTGGGTGGTTGTTTTGATTGGTGGTCAGGTGACCTGAGTGTCAGTGCTGTGATTGTACGTCTTTAATTCTGTTAAATAAATCCAGTCTTAAAATCCTTTAGCTTTCTTTCGACGCAGCAATCTGACCCAAACACGTAAATCTGATGTGATCTGATTAAATCTGATTTGAGGTCAGCTCTGTCTCCTGTCGTACACCACCTAGACTGGGGTTTCAGCTGGAAACACTCCGATCATGAGGCACGTCCTGTCACCTCTGCTCCACATGCCCCAAAATACAAAATGTCATGGGTTTGAATTTGGCACCGACTACCAATAAAAACCTGCGATGGCAGCTGAAAATTTGAAAACAGCCTCTGCTTACAGAGAGAGGTCTGTGGTGTTCTTCCAGTCCATGTCAGTGCTGGTCAACTAGTCCAGGTCGGTGGTGGTGTTTGAGTCCAGTAGAGTTCTCACCTCAGCTTGTTGTCCTAGTTCCTGAACCTGAAGCTTCTTCTGTCTTCAGTGTGAACTGATTTTTTTTTTAGAATTACTATGTTGACTAAAAAATTCCTTCATCATTCCAAACCTAAAGTCCTGATGGGGACGAGAACTGTCTGTCATGGGTTCATGCTCCAAGTTCTTCTGAGCTGTGGTATCAGCTGGAAGATGTGGAGCAGACCTGGAGGTGAAGTGGAAAGTCCTGACGTCTGAGAACACACCGTCAGGCTCAGTGTGTGTGTGTGTGTGTGTGTGTGTGTGAGAGAGAGAGAGTGTGTGTGCGTTGGTGGCTGCGTGTTCACATGTGTTTAGGGAGTGTTGCTCCAAATAAAGCTGCTGCTGCTGCTGCTGCTGCTGTCGTCGTCTTCATCTTCTCCACCTCTGAGCAGAAGAGCTGAGGTTTTCACATCACTGGTGAGTTCACCTCATTGTTATTGTCGTCGTTCATTCATCTCTACTGTAGAGTCTTGTTATTTATTACATCTGGACCAGATTTGTGTCCAGGTCCAAACCTGACCACACTGATAGTGATGAAGAGGAGTGACGATGATTCATTCATTCATTCATTCATTCATTCATTCATCATTTGTGTTCATTGTTAGTCTGTGGAAACCACACTGTCAACAGCTGTATTTTCTGTTGTGCTCCATTAATAACAATATGAAGGAAGAACAGCACAGATGTTGACTGGTTCTACAGAAGACACACACACACACCTAAAGACTCCAAGTTTTTTGGTAAAATCGGTGAAGGAGGATTTTCAGTTGTAAAAAGTAGTAATCACAGCTTTATCTGCAGAGTGGTACTCGGCCTGCAGAGGGCGCTGACGTGATGTCAAACCTGGACTTTTTGCCTTCTTGTTCTTTAATTTTGCTCCTCTATGATGCGAATCACAGCAAATGTGGACTCACTGCTGCCTCTACTGGTGAAGCTGTGAATCTGTTAGTTTAGACTCAGACTTACCTCAACATTGTTGAGATTGTGATTGGTTAAAAATGATCACGTTTTGTTCAGTAATAACTGCTAATTGTTAAATGAGCTTTAAAGTTCAGTTCAAGTTCAATTTTTTCTCAGATCCATGATTTCTATAGAGAATTGTCCACATCTCAGGCCAGTCCTTTGTGTAGGGGGCGCTAGATAGCTATTCATTAATTTAAGTCCCTCCCCCCACTTTATCATAACACCAGAGGATTCCTTTCATAGGTGCTGTAATCCTGCACCTCCCTGAAACAACCTTTGAAAATTAAAGGTCAAAGTTGAAGAAAAATGAACATCTTCAAACTTCTAGGCTGCACCTCCCTGAAACAACCTTTGAAATTTAAAGGTCAAGGTTGAAGAAAAATGGAGGGCAAACTCCTGTGAAACTCTTTTCATTCCCTCTACCTCACCTGCTTTTCAGGCAAACATGGGACGAGCTCCTGGACCGGACCTCAACTCCTCTGGTTGGCTCCGTCAGTGTGTGAACGCCTCCTGCCAGGCCCCAGTAGGGTGGGCGTATCCATACAGTACCACTCAGCTGATCTTCATCTCTGTCATCACCACCTCCCTCAGTGTCATGACGGTGCTGGGCAACGCCCTGGTCATCCTGTCCATCAAGGTCAATCGTCGGCTACGGACCGTCCACAACTACTTCCCGCTGAGGCTGGCCGGGG